AGCAATGGGTGCCTAAGGCGAGTGTTTGGCCATGATCAGTATACTTCTATCGATTTCATTCTCACCAAATATAACCTGTATACTTTCTCTCGCCGTGTAAACTTGAAGCTGTTTGTATTTGTTTTTAGGTGTCTATCTCGTTGCACCAGTCCTCTTTTATGCACTATAATTACTCTGCATTATGCCGCACAAATGCTGCTACCCGCGGACAAGCTTTAGCCGCTCTGAACCTACCCAGAGCTACGTCTCGTTACGGCCTGAATGCTATTTCATTTTTGGCAGCAGACAGTTGGAACATGCTTCCACCTAGATGTCGCCAAGCTAAGCCCCTTTCTGCATTTGTCACAAGCACCAAGTCATTTCTAGGGTTCCCAGTAAGAAGGCAACGCCTGTTGGGAGTTCCCTACTACTACTACTATGTTCTCTGACCAACTGTGGTGTAAACGGTCTTTGACCATCGTGCGATGCGCGCTCTTCTCCAGTACTGATGTACCAGTGGTCTGCTGTGTTGAAATATCACTTGTCTTTTCTGCCATTTGGTGCATTGGGGTATAATTAATAACTGTTCAAAATTTCATGGAAAAATATCAATCCATTCCTGAGTTCGGATGTTGAGCCATAAATAAATGTAGAAGAGAAAAGGACATATGGATACGAGTTAAGAGTAACTCTCCATCACTGTAACATGATACTTTATACAGTCAGAAAGTGCAATAACTAGGCACAAAACTGACAGAGTACTGAAACATTCGACGTCCTGACACCTAGCTTCAACACATCTCCGTAGCGCTAACCGACGATTTATGACCCACCCAAGTTGGGTGGTGTGCTGCTTTGCTGCTTCGAATTGTAGTTAGACCGCTTTGTCAAATATCGTACTGGTCTCGTCATCGTCCAGTAACAATCGACATTCTTTGTTCCGTTGGGACTGTAGCTTTTGCTCGTTTTCGTTGCGCTTGCCTTCCCCTCTTTGGTCTTTCCATAACCTTGAACCTTCCAAGTTGGAAGGCTGTCGGTTAGCGCTACGGAGATGTGTTGAAGCTAGGTGTCAGGACGTCGAATGTTTCAGTACTCTGTCAGTTTTGTGCCTAGTTATTGCACTTTCTGACTGTATAAAGTATCATGTTACAGTGATGGAGAGTTACTCTTAACTCGTATCCATATGTCCTTTTCTCTTCTACATTCCTGAGTTCTGCTACTTTGTATCGGTAGATTCAGTACGAGTCCAGCAGACGGCTGACAGGGTTTACTCCCACCTAAATGAAGAGCATCCTTATTTGATTATCCTTGGCCTTGTTTTTGCGCTATGTAATTATTTTTAAAAGCATTATAAGGCATTCTTCGACATTCAGAGATTCTCACCGTAGTGCCCGTACACTCTATCTGTACAACCTTCATACAACTTACGGTATTTACATGGAGTTGCTTGCCTCTCATTCTTTCTTATTTTTTTCTTTTCCTTCTTCTCTCTCTTTAATATAATAATAATCTTTATTTCAGGATTACCCAAAGGCTAACGCCTATCTGGGGGATCTCCTATTTGTGTATGTACTAGTAACATAGTTATGGATGCGAGAGAAAGTGCGCAAAGTGAGTGTAAAATGTTGGTTTTAAAAAGGACTAATAAGAAACACAAGGAAAGAAAGTAAGACAGAAAAGAAAAGAACAAGCATGTAAATCAATGATTGCACATCAAAGGTGTACCAGTGCAGTCGAACTGATACTTAGCAATGTGAATACGTAAATGACGCTTGAATTCAGATAGGGAATCTAAAGTTGTCAATCGGGGTGGAAGACAATTCCAAAGAAAACCAGTTTTCTGTAGGAAAAGGGATGAAAAAATACGACCATGTGAGTTAAAAATGAGCTTTTTGGGCCTACGGGCACTACGTGATATGGTTATCGCAAAGCGAGAGAGATATTCTGGGTGAAAATTGATGTACTTAAATAAAACCACAAGAGAAATAAAGATACGGCGAAATTGCAGAGATTCTAAGTGACACTGTCTATTCAAATTGGATTTTGATTCATAGATATCAAAGGTTACTTTTGCAGACTTCAGGAGTCGCCGGCAAACCTTAGCCTGGAGTACATCAAGGGACTCTAACTGAGCGGATGTGATCCTAAATGACCAGACAGGAATGGCATATTCAATTGCCGGACGCACATAAGACTTATACAAGAGGAGAATATGGGACGATGGTAAATGCCTGCCCATGAAACATAACAGGTTGACTCGTTGCTGAAACTTCCTGAAGATGGTGTGGAAGTGGTCATGGAACTTCAAACGATCACTGAGCTGTACGCCGAGATGCTTAGCAGAACGTCCAAAGGCAATAGGAACGCCGTCCATTAAAACAGCGGAGGAGTCAGGAATGTCATGATTCGAAAAGATGAAAGTTTTTTCTGGAGAAAATTTCCCATGGATATTCAGTCTTTGTTTACCACGGCGACCCCGTGTGCTGTACTGCTGTACTACTTTTTCTTTTTCTTTTTTCTCTTTTACGTTTACTTTATACCAGGCGTGGGCCATCCCCTGTACATAGGTACCATCATTTTTCTTTGTTTCAATAAAATTACTTACGGTATTTCTAGTTTTCCCCCCTTTGAAGTTTTGGCTGCTGAAAGAAGGCGATTACCGGTATAATAACCGTACTGGTACAGTAGTTAGTTTTGAGAATTCCTTTCTTGTCCAGGCCATGCAGGATGTGTTATTCTTACTTGAGATAAGTCACAGCAATAGACCAACGCATATGGCCGATTGGTTTGCAGGCCTGCCTGCGAATCATGAGGTCCCGAGTTCAAGACCCGCGCTGGTAGCAGGGAGCGTGTAAAAAGACTTTTTACGCGTGCTGAACTGCGCCGACACCCACGGTCAACTGGGTACTCACAGCTCGGAGTGAGAATAACAAGGATGCAGTTTACAGGGTTATGGGCCGTTACACGCCCGATTGGTTGAGAGACTAACCTCCTCTCCCCTGACTCACTTGTGAGGTCTGCATTCGCCACTAAGGTTAATAGGCATAGTGGTGGCCTGCGGATGCGAAGGCTAGTTTGTGTGTTTCTGAACATTCAAGCGATGCCGACGCGGATCCCGCGAATATTATTAAGAGTCCATAACCATGGTTACCGGTATGTACTCTTCTGGTCACAGAGCCATCTGCGAAGCACAAACTGGCTCTGGGCAGTCGACTCGCTATGATGATGCTCTCGTCGTTCTCCTCTATCCCTATCTATGCACGGCAGCAGCACCACAACTGGCTCAGACAACCGGACTCGCCATGATCAGCCATGATGATGCTCCTCTCAGTAACAGCCCTTGTAATTTGTTAATAGTCTCACAGTTTCTCCCGCACACTCGCTGGTGTTAACCCTTCCTTTCTTTTCATTTTGCTGACTCGTACAGCTCTATCTTTTGTTTTTGGTTCGTGTTTTTGGCCGTGATGCCGAGACCTCAGGTCGGCAGAGCCATCAATGCCCCACCATCACTGCTGCGTCTCGCTGCAGCCCCTGCTCAATAGTTGTCACGTTCGTCCTAGTCTCAGTATCATTGTCTTTCTTTACTATTTTCGAGCTGGGAATGTGAACATAGTAAAAAAAGAAAAAAAAGAAAAAGAAAAAAAGAGGTTCTTGCCATTCTGTTTACGCGGGTAGGGAGAAGATGTTGCAGAGTCCGGTTGGAAGTATGGTAATTCAGCCTTGTTTTACTCGAACATTCCGGTTTTGTGGGAACCGGGTACAGTGTACTCAGTACAATCAAGAGTCTGTTATGTACTCTCTCATCCCCTATGTTTTGTATGTTTTGTCCTTTTCCTCGTTTATTTTGTTCTCCACCTGTTTTCCAGTAGGGCTGTGTCAATAGTAAAAAAAAAAAAAAAAAAAAAAACTCTTGGTACAATGTACTTCGTAACCAAATCCTCACAATTCAAAGGATCTTGTAGGACGGCTGATAATCAAGGGGCGCAGGCGCTACAACTACATGTATACAGTCCGTGCGCCAGGCCACTGAGTGGGCCGTTTTCATTTTCCTGGGTCCGATCCCGCGGGAAAAAGTCTGCACAAAACTGTGTTGGTGAAGATGATGACGACAATGGCAGTTGGGGGAGAAATTTGGCAATTGTTTTGGCCTTTCTCGCGGCCTGTCTTCGCTCCTTTGCCTTTGCAGCAATGGAAGATGATGAGTTCAATGTTGTGCTTTGACGCCGAGTAGAAAATTTGAATCGCAAACGCCATCTTGGCCTTTATTTATGGAAGAAACTGCTCTCCCCGATTTGCTGGTTTCGCCGACTGGCATCGAGAAGTAGACGAGCTGCGCTTTCCAAGAGCCGCGGACACCAAGCTCTCATGGCGGATCTTAGTAAGTACATATTGTTGTGTAGTGAGATGATAATGGTTTGAGCATTCCTGCCTGGAATAACCGATGGCACTAAGTGGAATCTCAAAATTGTTTTTTTAGTATTTTTACGAGCACAAGTGTTGCCTTGTTGAAAATAGCACAACAAGAAGAAAGAAGCATCCAAAGGAATACGATGTCATAAATCAATGTGTTCTCTTCCCGTTTAGTGTGCCTGTGCTTAGGATGGTACTGTTGAGGAATCCGAAAGTGCGAAATTTGTATGTCTTTTATACTCTGTATTATTGTAAAATTTGCATGACATTTTAGTGGATATGGACTTGTTGTATTCTCTTGAGATGTACCCTCGTTGCTGCTGCTGCATGGCTGCGGATGGACATGCTGGTCTTAATTGCCATGAAAGCTCTTTGTGTCATTGTAATAATATATTCTTTGTCGATATTATCGATTGAAACGAACCGAATACTGTCTCGTTTCATGTACGCCGCTGACGGAGCTCCACTGCATTCATATTTTGGTGGCTGAACCAAGAGTCCATAGCCCCAAGAGCATGCAACTTTGCACGAGGGGACTGAAGGGGCTTGCTGCCCACATTACGTAGCGACAAACTGGGGTACCAGCTGGGGTAGTGCGTCAACGATCTTTTGTGGTTTCCAGATTCAAAGCGCGCTTTTTCTCATAAGAGCCTTGTGAAGGCTTGTGTGCATGGTGTATCGCATGCAGACACTGCCTCGAACCTGCTGTGTTTCTGTGTGTAACCGATCCACCAGGGGTTAATAATCCGGGTTACGTCTTCTTGGCAGAACTACTGGCAGTGATGCCCAGCCATGCCAACATTCTAAAGTGCGATGCATGATATCACTTCTGCGACGTGATGCGCGACGATGCGATTGAGGAATTTTTCTGCAAATTGTTGCAGTGAGTGCTGCTTCACTGAAACCAAAATATGGTTCAAGTGAAGCAGCACCCACTGCAATTATACTAATAGGGACAACCAAATCCACTTCCATGGAGTTCAGTGTATTATCTGTATAACATTGGAAAAGTGTAGTATAATATAAAGAGCGGAGCACTTTTTTCCATTCAATTACTTTCTGTGTTTCATGCATTATTCCTACTGTCGTTAAAAACTTAAAATACTGCCTTATCTTGTGCGATCTGTGTGTCTTCTCAGGTGGATCGTGCTCCAACGCGTCTTGGCATTGTGTGAGAACAGCACGAAGAGGACCTTGGGTATTGCAGCCTTTCCGCAGAAGGAGAATGACTCGCTTCTTTTGCTAGTGTGCAAACATCCATGTGTTCTCCCAGTACTGCTGTTAGCTCAGCCAGAGGATTATCGCAGATCTGAGTGTGACAAGCGATCAGCTGTAATAGCTTTGTTGTGAATGCTTGCACTGCTGTCAACTATTATCCATTCTAGCTGTGCCTCGTAGCACTCCTTGCAAAAGACATCATTTTATGCTATTGTCATGTTCTTACTCTTTGGAACTGCTGAGACCGTTTCATAGTGGGAACAGTTCATCTGTGCCTGTTTGAGTGTTTGTGCATAACTGTCTTTACATGTGCTGCAATGCCGCCTATATTGGCTCGGCGTGCACTTTTGAGCTCGTCCGCTACGTTCCGTTTCATACACTTCTGTAGTAACGCAATTAAGATTCTCATTGACACTCCTTTACACAGCCAGCGTATGTGGATATTAGTCTGTAGGTGGCTGCAATTTGCGTTTTTGCCTTTCGCCGTTCACTATTTTACCAAAATATTCCAATATTCTGCATTTGTCGGATGTGTGCACTGGTGTCCAGACGAGTTGCTTGGCATAACTCGCAGGCAGGAATGCACACACGCCCATGGTGTACCTGAGTGGTATTATTACACCGTCCTGATGTGTTCATTGTGAGTGCTACATGCTTCCAGCTGTCCTCCATATACATGTAAATAGCGAGAAAAACAGAGGTTAGAAAATTGGTCGGTGTGGTGTTATTTGGTCTTGGACACCGGCGAGAGACCACATACTAAAAGACTAAGGCTTGTTCTTCTGGATGTTGTAGTGGGTGTTACTACGCGTGCCTGGAATACTTGACGGCACTAAACTAAAGTCCTGCGTAAAGAAAAATTCAAATTTCGACAGTCGGAGAAGACGTGATGCTGCATGGGACAGAAGCACCCCGCGAGAAAACGTTCGAAACTGAGGATAGAAGTTTGCCTTATCCGGCGATGGACGGCGTGTCAGGTCTGAACTCGAACGAAAAAGGGCCTTGTAAGGCCCACCTTGCAATGACTAGAAACTAACAATTCTCAAGAAATAGCTCAAAAAGTTCAAAGTCCACTGACTCTGGAAAATAAAAAACACGGATAGAGTGCGATATTTTGAATCTGGCGCACGGACTGTATAGGCGGCGTGCGCGTGTGTTGAAGGGAATACGGTACTGCATGATTGCACGTATGCCCCGTGTCATACTCATAGCTCGAGGTCGTGAACCGTAGCCCGCGGGCCTGCGGCCTAGCCTGTTCCGGCCCCTGGGCTACGGTGCACGACCTCGGGCTACGCACTAGCGCATAAATCAGCCTACTTGCCCTACGTACACGTACCATGCATGTGGGATCTACACTCGAGTCGTACTCGTACTCTGCTGGTTTGCGAAAACTGCAAGGCAACTTTTGTGTGTAATTGTGGAAAACGAACTGCGAAAAGGAATTTGGAACACCAACCGAATGAATGTACAGTACCGGTATTTGAAAATATCAAAGCTTGCGAAAAGCCTTAGGTTGTAGACAAGCCAAATCAGACATTACCTATCAGAGATTATCAATGTAGCGAATATGAATTAGCGTCTGGAGAGAGAGAGAGTGACATGCGATCAAGATGATGGGTTGGAAATCAAATAGAAGTGAGGTAAGGAACTTTGGACAGAGTTCGATTTGTAAAATCTCAATCGGCAATACAAGGGTTCAGTGCGATCTCTACACACTTGGTTTTCCTGGTCCAGATTGGGGGAATCCTGCCTCTCAATTACATGCAGTAATTACTGGTCATTCTTCCCTTGCACGTACATCTACATCTACATGTGGCTATTGCATTCTGACATTGAATCATAGTTTTGTTAGCACTCTCCAAGTCCTACACCTCACTATGTACTATGTACATACCGGTGTACAGTTCGCCTCGTGTCTGCACATGTACAACGTAGCTAAACCACTCTCCCAGTGAATGAAGATCCTCACCATATGAAACCCCCTGTGGTCATCCCCTAAAGAAATACACGGTCCATTCAGAAAAAAAGATGATATCCTAGCTTTTGGCCATAAACGGGTCAATTTTTGAGTTTTCGTCACAATTTTTTTGGCAATCCCCCGTGGAATGCTCTTCCAATTGTGTTTTTGAAGTCTATTTCTCCAAAAAGCAAGCCATAACAACAATAGGATTTCGGCCACGTTTTGCCCCAAAGCCCTGAATTGGGTAAAAACCATGAAAATCCAGGCCGTTCACTCCACTTGCAAAACTCCGGTTAGATTGTCCTAATTTCGATTTTCAGGGCATCAGCCATCACGAACATCGCCGCCATTATCACTCAGAGAGAAGACATCGCGCTCAGTAGAAGAGGTGTTCACGCTGCGTCCAAGAGTGAAATATTGTGCTCTTTGACCCTCCAAAGTTCCTCTGAGAGAGTGTCTGGGAGATAGGTAGCTTGGAGATGGCCGTAGGACGTGCTTTCCTGGACGCAACATTCAGCCATTTCTACTGTCTTCTTCAACTTGATCTATTTCGAAAAAAATGTTCTTTTCCACGATTTCTGCACTGGACGCGTCTGGGATCGAAAATCTCACCTGCGCAGACTGGCTGCGCAGTTCACGCGCTGAGATCCCTATAACAACCAATGTCAACACATTGGAACCACATTCTACACTTCAAGGATATATTCTCTTCCCATAGTGTAGTGGACTCGGATAGAGAGCCAATGATTAATTCATAGAAAATAAAAAAAGGAGCAAGGAAATACAAGTTACGCTACAATGTCCTTGGTCCTTTATAATTATTTTCTACCGAGTAGCGTCCTGTATTTCTGATGAATTTTTGCATGCGTATGTGATCAGGAGGACGGTGCAACGATGTTCTGCAGTAATCAAGTGCATACATATATGTTAGTAAACAGGGGATATCATTATGAACTGGTGATCCAGTCATCAGGAGGCAACTCCCATGGAACTGTGAATGAAGAACAGTGGCAGGCTAAAACTCTGCCCGGCTTTTCCCAGGGCCCACCAGCCGTCCTGACCGGAATGCCACCCAAGACTCATTTCGTACTCCGTAACTCGACGTCCAATCTTCACTCCATGTTGTGTCTCCATATTTGGGAAGTGCAATCTGGAGCTACGTTGACTGTTTTCAACTAGGCCGTTTATGGTGTTTAAGGATACTGTCATTCTCCTGTGCCCAGATGTTACCCTGGACCATGATGGTGCTATGTGCATCGTTGATTGGATACTGCCAAGGATCTTATTTTTGTAAGGGCAGTGCAGGATGCTTGTGTGATGGACCAACAACGGACAAAACTCTGACAAGCTGCGGAGAAAAATCAATGTACGTAAGCTATATGTTGGAGTTAGCAGCCAGTTTGGTCTCCTATCTTGTATTTCTCCCAATGCCCACCTCCCTGCACAAGGTTCATGGATCCAAAATCAACTTTACACAGTTCAAACCATGATCTTCTGACGATGGGTAACAGGTCCAAAACGTCAATAATTTGTCGACATCACCAATAGAAGAATTTTTCATCCAGCGCATGCGCGAAGACTGCATAGCAACCGAATAGAGCGGGTGTCAGCTGACAACCCCTTTTATTTTCAAACCATGAATCCCCTTTAAAGATTTTCGCTGGTAACAATCTGTGAGGAGTTCAACCGGCTGGGTCTAATTGCTTGACGTACTCCTGGAGCACAGGCAAAGCAGCTGGATGATGACTGATTGCAGTGCGAAAAGGCGTATTGGATGCCAATAAAAGACACTGGGCACACCTGACCTCTGAGAAAGAAACTGCGTTGCTGCCCACTTGTCTTCCTGGGAGACGACGTGGATTTAAAAGGACCACAGGTTCATTCAGAGATGCAATCATAAAATTAGGGAACAAACGAGTAGTTGTGGAAATGATCTATCGAGTACTCTTTAACTGTACGTATAAGTAAGAAAAAGAACACATCCATGTACATGTACGGGGACGTTTGAAACTGCAAATGACTTCAAATAAGTGCGGGACAAAAAGGTCTAAGAGCTACTGTTATGTTGCATGGGAGTCACTATAGCCAGTCTAGGTGCGGTGGCCCTGACTGTACTGTTTGATTTGGCACTTGTGCTTTTCTAGGCAAGTAGTAATCTTCTGTTTACCAGTTATACATATATGTACCACGGACGATCTCTTATCGAGCTCCATCAGTAACGACCGCCCTAGCTCGCAAGCGAGTACTCGAGTACTCGATACGATCCATTGTTCCCTACTATAAATCCCCAATGGTCAAGTACCAATACTACTTCCCAGCACCTGTCCTTGTCACCAGCAGTGTGTCAGTAGCTTTGTTCTGCCCACTTTTCCTACAGTTCATCCACCACACTAGTTCCGCTGGCTTTTAGCGGAATTGAGGCTCAAAAACCAGGAACAATCTGGGTTTGGGATCTGTTTCTCCATGCCTTTTGCCTTGGCATACCTGTCCGAATTTTGTTAAGCCTGGCCGAATTTCTATTCCCCTGTCCCGGCGGACTTTGCTATAGGGCTGCAACGGGCAGGGGTTTGGTCGGGAAACAGGTTCGGGTATTTTTATCCGGGTAGCACGGGTACCCTATTGGGTATTTTCTTGACACAGTTTGTACCGTGAGAGTGCACTTGCGCTTCATAGAAAGTGTACAGTGAGCATGTAACCGTAGGTGTGTGGGTTCATGAAACTCGGTCGTAGTCATCCTCGACATTCACACCAATTTTGGTCTCCCACGCACTGCGTTGTATGCGTTCGTTGCCTTTTTTTGTGTGGACAATGTCAATAGTATGTATGGTTTTTTTCCAGTTGCTTCGCTGTGAGCTGATCGTGCATGTACGTTCAATGCCAGGACAGCTTGGCCCAGCTTTTCAGTTGGGGAAAACATCTTGGTCGTAGTCATCCTCGACATTCACACCAATTTTGGTCTCCCACGCACTGCGTTGTATGCGTTCGTTGCCTTTTTTTGTGGACAATGTCAATAATATGTATGGTTTTTTTCCAGTTGCTTCGCTGTGAGCTGATCGTGCATGTACGTTCAATGCCAGGACAGCTTGGCCCAGCTTTTCAGTTGGGGAAAACATCTTGCTTGATTTTATTTGAGGATGGAATGCCATACCTCCAGGAATTTCCGTTCCATAATTATCATAGGAAAACACAGTCTTGATCTAGGCAATAAACAAAATAAGCCACTGCAGGCACTTTCACTGGTTTTTTCTCTGACCACGCTGACAGGAAAGTTAAAGCGTTTCAGACTTGGTCAGTCCCTCAAGAGTCAAAACCTATGAATAATCGGCGACTTTAAATATTATTGTGGTTACCTTTGGCTTTCCTGAGCTACGAGGCGCTTCCTCCAACATGCGAGAGACCACATCCAAAAACGAACCACAACTATAATATTATTAGGAAAAGCACGGACTCTTCTCGGTACGAGCTGAAATTCGGAAAGTTTGGGTGCAACCTTTTACGTCTAGACATGCGAACCCTCGTAGTGTGAGCAAGATCGGCACGTTTCTGTGTTTTGCTGACCTATGGATGAGTGCTCATAGTCACAGTGTGAATGCGCAGTTAATATGTTGGTTTTGCTGTAAGGCCACACGTTTTTATTTCTATGTTTGTCGTCACCTGAAAATCTAAAAACGTATGCGAGAGGTGGAAAAAAATAAAAATTACCGAAAAATAAAAAAAGTTTATTTAGACCTTTGTTCACACTAAAATCCACC